AGGGGTCACGAAGGGATATCAATTTGTAATGTTCATGACCTTACAGAGGCGTACTGGTCCTAAACTTGCCCAAATATAATAGCACGGACCGGCACTGATTCTACGCGCCTGACCTTCTATCCCGATTGTTCCAGAAGCCCATGCGTGTACATAAGGGTGCTCCAAGTTGGTAGCCGCACTCGGCGTCGCCCCTGCGCTCGATCCTACTGTTACGCCGCCATCAAAGCCCGCGACGCTAGCCTTTTTTTATCTTGTGTTGGGAGGAAGTTCCCCATTAAATGTTTAGTTTCCCTTGAGTCATTCGTCTCCTCATCAATTGTGACTCGTGACAGTGGCATAGAAAAACAAGTGGGCGACGAGGACCAGTGTTTACATGAGCCGGCTTTCACACTTTGCCCGTACGATGCTTTTGACTTCAGCCATCTTGAATGTGTGTGTGCGTGGCAACGGTGAAGCTGGTGGTTCGGGGGCCAATTCGTTACTATGCTCATGTTCAGACTACGCCCGACCGAACCGAATGCTACAATTGGGCAGAGCCCAGCAAACAACGTGATTCGTCGCGGCGCTTCCCACTTTTCGGTTTTTGGTATCACTGGCCACAAAAATCACGCACAAAAACAACAAAAAAAAAAAAACCCGCAAATTTATGCTTAATTCATTGTGCGTGATTGATTGAGCCCGCGATTGCAATGATGTAAATACGACGAGCGGCGTGACAAAGCACATTTGGGGTACGTGATTACATCCATCGGATCGCAGTGTCGGATGCACACGGATGTAGTGTGAAACGCAGTATAGCAGGCATTTTATTGTCAAAGTACGTGTAATTCTTGGCAACAAAGGCTTAGTATAGCGTGGCGCACCTCACAATAGTAAAATCAATATTCGAAAATTTTAAAATGAAAAATAATATAGTGTTATTGTAGTCCCCTTTCTGCAGTCTCTTAGTCAGCCGCAGCAAGGCATTAACTTGGGCTTGTTGTAGCATGATTAACTTTTACAAAAACATGGTGCCGCAAGCCATGCAGTCTGACCAAAGTCTGACTACATTGGACGCAGGGCCCGATTCTCCGGGGTCCAGTGTGCTCAAATGAACCGGGCCCTGCTCGCGAAGGGGGCCTCCCCACAGGGGTTCAAATATTGCGGCGATGATAGTGTGGCCCGCAAAAACGTCGAAATTACTGCTTGCTAGTCAACAATTATGATGCTAGCAAACATTCATTGAATAAATGGACGTGTGCATAAATGTTCTATCTTTATTACTTTTCTCAATGTTTTCCTGGCCCGATGGGTTGTGTATTGGATGAGCGCAGAATCAACTGTAATTCTCCAGCTACCGACCAGCAAAACCTGAGTCGGAAAAGGCGATGAGGTAGCAGGCCAAAGAAGCGGAGGAAACTAAGGGTAGGGCTGAATAGTAAAGTTAGCCTGATTTCAGTTCACATTTTCACGCGTTCCCGGTGGCTGTTCCCTTGTTTTGGGTTGAAAAAGCTGGCACCGCCTCAGTTTCAAGCGCCGTCTGTCCTCTTGCGGGCTCTAAAATGGCAGAAATCAATTATGACAAAGATATTTTGATATTCACGATAAGGAAAGAGGGACATTTAAGACAAACAGACAAAACAGGCTTTCGAAAGCCTGTTTTGTCTGTTTGTCTTAAATGTCCCTCTTTCCTTATCGCGAATTAATAACCAACACGCTCAACCATCTACATATTTTGATGTACCACCCATTATAGGTTGCGTGAGTTCTCACTGCCTCAAGAAGGGCAGTGTCAAACACGTATTTGTGGGAGCACAGTCTTTCTGGTTTTTGGGTGACGATCACACTGTTTTTTGGAAACTTTTCATTGTGAGACGTTATATAGGTAGATCTGGGTTTATTAGAGACAGGCTGCGCGATTGTCCTTATGTGCGCCAACCTAGAGTCGGCCTTTTGTAAAAAAAAAAAAAAATGGATACCGAGAAAAAAAAAAGCATGGGCTACTTGAGACAAAAGAGCACTCAAAAGCCAGAAATACTTTTTGAATGCCGAATATATCATTTCGCACGCATATCTTAATAAATGAGACCACAGCTTTTGCTGTTGTTTTTGCCGTTTATTTGTCCCTAAAGAGAGGGGCAAGTAGTTTTACACATTACAGCCAGACCAAAAAAACAGGTCTCGAAGTTTTCTTTCTTATACATTCCGTTTTCCTTTTATATGTTAGAAATGACGGGAATCCGTTTGAACAAGCTTCAGCCTTTTCTTTTTTACCTGCTGCTTTTCACACTCAAGGAAACGCTTTCACGTATGAATATCCCCTTAGTGAAATTGACTCTTAGTGATATATCGTCGCCCATTACTCAAAGCTGTTTGCAGCAAACGTCGTGCACCGAACGTCTATATAAGATCAGTCGGCGTCCGCGAAAGTCAATACTAGCTCCAAAATACAGTTGGTACATACCTGTATACAGGACGGCAAACAAAATTCCTTTTGGTGGAGTTGTCTTTCATATTTGTCTTCCATGCTTGGTGTTTTTTTTTTAAACTATGTCCACATAAAACACTTTTTTCTTGGCTGTCCATCGCATTAAAACAATCTTGGAGGGTTAGACCAAACATTTTAAAAATTGCAAGCTGGGAAGTTTACTGAGTTAGATGCAGGTGAGTAGGTTTAGGGAGCTTAAGTGAACAGAAATGAACAGGTGTATTTTTATTTTAGGTTCTCTCTTCGCTTGCACAGCGAAGCTGTTTTTGTTTAGGGCTCCGTAGATTTTTCGTGTGCGTGACCAAAAACTCTACCCTCGAACCGCACACACGCGCCGCACGTGTCGTCGTCTGCAGCAGTAACTGTTATAAAGCAAAATCCTAAAACATGTGCCATCTTGCACGCGAGTTCGTCAACGCTTTATTTTGGTTATTTACTTCGAATCTTTATTGCGAGGAAGGCGTGCGCGTGCGGCGCGGGGAACATCATCCCATGCATTCTCTTTGAAGGCGGCGGGCTGCAGGTGCGAGTGCGCACCTTTCGTCACGATCACCACCGATCAACACAGTAAATGTGCTCGTACCTTTGTACGAAATTCTGTATCGCCTCTGCGTCGTGTGATAAACAGCTTCGCTGGTCATCCACTCTTACAGAGTGGAATTGCTCCCAATGTCGTTTGTATAAATGTATATGAAGTAAACTCTTCTGCCAGTATTCACAGTCCTATTTTGCCGCATGGCGGTTTAAATTCTTGGAAAAAACAAGCTTTTTTCTTGGAAAATTTTATAGCCACTTGAAAAGGTTTCCTTAGAATATTTTTTTTTTTACATTTCACCAGCGTATTATTGGAAGGTAGAAAAAGAACAGCGTATTCCAGAGTTACATGTTATGTTAGAAACAAATATATAACACAACCCAATTAAGAAGGTGGATTGCCTAGCTCAATGCTTGGAAAATTGAGTGGACTAGGGTTAACTGAAAAAAAAAACAATTTAGAGCTTTCTAGCAAGCATCATTTTTATATTTGTAAAACAATTCTTGGGTATTTAAATGTGACGCACCTTACAGTAATTTAATTTACCTTTACAAATCTCTTCTAATATATTGCTTTTTCAGAACGTCTAACAAATATTTTGCGTTTTAGGAGCTGTTTCTTTAAAGTCTTTATTAATGTAAAATTGTTGGATTGCTAAAAGTTTCTTGCTACACCATATCTGATACTATTAAGCGTTTCCAGGAGCTCTGCCACGAAGGCGACCCTCCCGAAAAAGAGAGAAAGCGTACTGTCAGCACCTCCTTCAACCGTCAGATCATCCGGAAGTGAGTAAAGCGAAATTCGAGGGTCTCCATAATAAGTTTCGGTCGCGAGACCAGAATCTGACGTTAATCGGTACGGCAAACGGCAAGAAAGGAGCTGAAAACTCAAGCCTCACAAGCCTAAAAAGGTTCAACTGCCTACGGACCAACACAAGCGAGTCCGGCTACAGAGGTACCGCCAACTTCAATGCCGTGTCGCAGGTACGCTGGAAACGTACCCTCTTCAAAGACGAAAAACACTTCACGGGTTTGAACCCGGTGGATTACACTGAGTGGGCAATTTTGGGGGTCCAGGGCTTGTACTATGCGTCACACAATTTTGGAGTTGCTGAAGCAATCGCTGCCCCGCAGTGGGACTGAATTGCACTGGAGGAACTGCGGTCCATCACCCCAAATTTTAAGAAGCACCTGGGGCTCTGCTTCGACGCTGAGGGCGGCAAGTTAGATATCTGCTAAGAATGTGTTTACTAAGTTTCGATGTTATTTTATTTTATTGATTATTTTCTATTTTAAATAAAATATTATAAAAATGTTTATCCGTCTTTTTTTTTCTGGTCATACTGTATGATTTCTTTCTAATTTGAGCTGTTAATAAAGTTGTAGCTCTTTCTGTGTGGTTTAGTCAGAATCTAAATGGCCTTTGTTTGTGGTATATGATCCCCATATGAAGTCTCAGCGATTTGTTTATTTGCTACAATTTTTCGGTATAAATGTATAGGATTCATTGTTTGTAGGAAAGTACTGCCCTTTTAACATCACCTCAGCTGAACTAGATAAATAAATGTGTCAAGCTGAAACCAGTGGGTTCTATTCTGAAACGTACACAGATGGAATATTTTCAACATTAATGATCATTACCGGTTCGTATTTATTCTCACAACTGTATGTCAATTGGCGTTGGTTCACAAAATAATGCCCCTCTCCCTCCCCCATGCACACACATTTTGTTGAATGGTGCCCTTCTGACTTGCCTTAATTCTGCCCTTCTTGACGGGAAGCCATTGAAATTTCTTTCTAATACGTAGAGAGGAATTCACAAGCAAAGGGTTCACAATGGCTAGGTTATACAAGACGCCTTGCGTACGCTACTAACCCCTGCAATGTGTATAAACATTGCATGATCAATATCTACGCTGAAGTGAATAAAAGACGTGAAACATGTTGCAGTGTTTATAACTAGACAAATGTATTGAGTGCTTGAGTCAGGCCTGATTTATTACGAACTAGTAATGTTCCTTTTTCTCTCCATAACACATATTCCTTGAAGGCACACCTGAAACAAAACACAAATAGATGACACCATATATCTAATATTCTCTATAGAATTTCTGAATTTAAATTTGACAAGAAAAGTTTAAAAATATAGATGGCCCCTATTTGCGGTCGAATGTGTTCTTGTGATGATGTAAAGGTCTACATGCTCAGGATTTAAGTTTAGAAATTAAATCACAGACAGGTAAACATCATGGGATCTGTAATTGTATTTTTATGCCATTTCATCATCGTAAAAACTATTCACTCACAACTCTTATTTAATATTTAACGTCCAACAAAGTTTACCTGCCTGATATGCCATAGAAAGCACAAACAATATCGATCAAATGTTTTCGCATATGATGCTACTGAGTACTATTTAAAGTCAAACATAAATCTGCATTTAATATTTACGGTTCTTGATTAGTTATATTGTTTCTAAATTTTAAGGTGCATGTAGAATGCGTCAATGATTATAAAACGCAGGCAAACACTAAGGGGTGCCCACGTGGGCCACACGTTAGAAAAGTGGTATGGGGCAGCCCTTTCGATACCTTCATGTGTCCGGCGTCGATGTGACGCGGAAATGCAGCATTCGGGGTGTGCAACACCTACGTAAGTCGTACCTTGGATATTCGAGGAAAGTTAGCGTATATCTAAGCAAAGCAAGGGCAGGCCTACTTGGGCTGCCGGCGCAGTAGCCCCGTGGGTAACGCTTCGGCTCCGCGTGGGCACGCCCAAGTTGGGCTGCCGGTGAAATACCCCCATGAGTCCCACCTCGCTTATGTGGGAACAAAGTGAGCATACATGGGGGCTCCATGCGAGAAAAGGATAAGCAAGGCCAAAGTGAGGTGCACCTGCATCGCCGCCGAGCATCCCACCTCGGCAATGCGGGGGCAGAGCTAGCACAAATGTGACCTAGAACGGGGCAAGTCGTGGACATGCCAAAGTTTGGCTGTGTGTGCAATTCTCTCGTGGGTATCACCTCGGCCATAGCAGGGACAAAGCACAGAGGTAAACTCTACGAGGGTAAGCTGCGAGCTTGCCCAACTTTGGCTCCCCGTGCAATGCCTCCGTGGGTCCCTCATCGGCCAAGGGGGAATGGGGCGAGGGTGCGTTGTGATGGCGAGGGCAGACTTAGCAGATAAGTGGGCTTCACGGAGGGCAAAGCGTCGGCCTGCCCAACTTGGACTGCCCGGAGAATTCCCCCGTGGGTTTCACCTTGTCTATACGCCTCGCAAGTGGGCTAATTTTCGTCTTCTGCGCATGAGAAAGGAAGCAGCGGTGACGTCAGAACGCCGAGCCCTGATTGGCTGACGGCGACCCCCTATCTGAGCGTCGTCTGCTCCTTTGCAACGTCGTCTGCTCGCAACATCGTCTGCTCGCAACATCGTCTGCGTCTGTCTTACCTTTCCTGCGACTTTCGGAGCGAACTTCACTTCGCCTTTAAGAGAGGGCAGACGAAATAACTCGAGCGGTACGTTGTTTTTGTCTAACAACTAGCAGACGCGCATCAATGAGGGAAGTCAAAGGACTCACTGGCGGGGTGTCCCGGGGCGCCAAGGTTTGTTTGCTTAGAACCGAGAGTGAGCGTGTTAGTGTCCGCAAGTTCCCTCCCAAATACTTTTTCCCTCCATTCGTGTGCGGCGAGACCCCCCACTCTTTAACGGCGTCGGCGGGTTGGTGCAGTTAACGTCGTCTGCTTTACGTCTGCTAGTCAAAGCGATGGCTGCTTTACCTTTCCTGCGTCTGTCGGAGGTTCACCGCTTTTTCACCGGCGAGAGTCACCGTTGCCTCGGGAAACAAGGACATAACAAGAGGAAGAAATTGACCTCTTAATCTAAAATTGAGGTCGGCGATCAAAGTATAATACAGGAAGGGTTCACAAGGGTCGTGCGGGCATATTCCATTCAGCACGCCAGCCGGTTGTGGGCAGACGGTCGCCGAAACCGCGGAGTGCCTGCTAGGCCTAACTGCCGAACTCGCTTGGTCGCGTTCGGTGGAATCGTGGCCGTTGGAGCTTTTCCCGGGTGTTTATGGATCCAGCGTTCTTGTTCGTCGTGGTCTGTTTCAGGTACTTTTTACTTTTTTCTTGCTGCTTGAAGTCGGGACGCGTGAGAAGCGTACGTAGAAAAATAAACGTCCGTGGGTCGTCGCGACCACGACACTGTCGGCCATGCTGATTTGATCGTAAGAAGTGCGTAAGACAGCTTCGGAGCTGTCGTAGGATTTCGTCGTAACCTGCGCAAAACATACGAAAATTTCGTGTTCTCAAGTTTTGTCTTATGCATATCTTTGGCGTAAGATCGTTTTGTGAATCCAGCCTCTGCACTTCCAAAAGTCGCAGGAAAGGTAAGACAGACGACGTTGCGAGCAGACGACGTTGCAAAGGTGCAGACGACGCTCAGATAGGGGGTCGCGATCAGCCAATCAGGGCTCGGCGTTCTGACGTCACCGCTACCCCCTGCGCAAGAAGCAGACGAACTTGCCCTCCGCATACGGAGATGTAGCACGGTTTGCTCCGGGGGTAGCGCTTGGGCATGACCAACTTAGACCACATGCACAGTTTTCAAGATGAAACTCTCTGCTTATATTATGAATATTTTTCACCAGTTTTAGTATTTAAAAGATCGGTTTTTTGTGACACCGAATTACCAAGGCAGCGAGGAAAATGACAGCGCTTAGGGAACTCGGCTACTGCGAACGAAGCCTCCGCAGCACTATGATATCAGTTAATAGACAGTTTCATGACAACATGTCTGCAACGTGACTGTATTGGGAGGCGATGGGTCGGGAAGGTGGAAACCTCTATAGTTTATACACAAGTATTTGCAGGTATTATCAAACATCAGTTGCTGGGGTGCCAGTTGTCCATGTTTGTAACAGAGCAAAGTTTTAGATGACGTAAATAGCCTGTGTAAGGCTCGCTTAATTGCATTGTTTATCTATAAAGATGCGTTACATTATCTTACAGATTGTTATATTATCGTGTATGTTGAGACCAGCCGCATTTTTCGTTGAAGAGTATTTATATTATCTAGCTTTTACCACTTTTCTTTCAATAACTACTTGCCCTCGACAGGTAATATAGAATAAATTGTGAATGCTATTTAGTATTATTCTATTAGAATTATTAGTGTTCTATGTAGTCGCAAACACCGGTCAGGACCTTTAAAATTAAAAATAGGCACAAGTGTATTAATTCATTTGACAGTACCTTTTCCTGGTCACATCTCGTACCATCAGGCGAGTTTACGGTAACACTTGAGTTCCCAAAGCAACACCGCATATGGCATGGTGTGTCTGCCGTACCGTTCTCAACGGCCGTCGGTAACTGCGAAAAAAAAGCGCCTAGTGGTATTATTTAAAAGCTTATATCTTCTATATTACATGTTGTTGCTTAGAGAGCTGATCCTGCTGAACGGAAAATATTCAACCAGCCAGGCTATGAATGACAAAATGATATAGACAACCGGGTGAACTGTTTATTATCGGGTACCACATATTCAGAAAACTAATTGTTAGATTTTGTTTGCTTTATATATTGTAGTTACTTTTTAACATAAAACGGCTGATTAGTTTCGGTTCAGCCGAGCCATTCGTTAATTCTCACCTTAAACCACTCTCGGATTAAAAAAAAATGATAGACGGCTCAATTTAACGTGTTTTAGGAATGTGGAAATGCAACAGAAACAAGAGGCCTCTCAAAAGCTCTGATAAGAAAAGGTAATCAATTATTGTCTTACTGCTTCTTGGTATGATATAAAGCACAAACCTCAGACGTTACTTTTTATCCTTCTTTCCAAAGAAGTGTTTTCGCATAATTATTACAAAACACTGTATTAACGAAAGCTGGAGAATGCTTTATTCACGTCGCCAGTCATCCGCTAGTTTTTACAAATTCAAGGCTGCAGTAACAATGATGTCAACAAATCTGCGACCTAACACGACTGTAGAGGCGTTCAACGTTGACAGTAGCACGGGAGAGCGACTAAAAATGACGGACGGAGGCAAGTGTACAGCACGACAAAATTTGTCGGAACACGACGTAGAAGCAAATTAGCGAACGCGCTGCCAAAAAGAGGAGAAATGTTTAACATGCACAGGGGTTACCGGTAGTACCTATCTATCGCCTCACTAAGTATCAGTAAATGCTTAGCAGAAAGTATTTTTGGGTACTGGAGGGTGATTTAATTAATAAATGTCTGCATTTTTATGAGTCTTTCATTCCTAGTGCCTCAACAATGTGGAATCACCTTCCCGGAGCCATTGCCGAAATCCCCGATATCGAGTGTTTTAAAACTGCCGTTTCCAATATTTTTTTTTGTAAAGAGCCATAACCACTGCATAATATTTCCTGTTGTACGCTCCATGTCGTGTTGTACTTTTTAATATCCACTCCCCTCTGTAACGCCCCTGGCCCTGAGGGTAAATAAATAAATAAACATGTATACCCTGCGGCAGAGCTGTCACAACATGCAAGCTGAAGAAGGTAAAATGCCAGACGTGATGCCTCCTGCATGTGAAAGCATAAAACGTACTGCAAGAATAAGGTAGTATGGGAAGTGGCGGCTCATTCCAATACAGACTTCAGCAACCTGACGTACCTGGGGCTCCTACCATTATATAAGGCCGCTGTGCCGGCATATGTTACTACACCTTAGCATAACTAATATACTCCAAAGCAAAGCATAATAGCATAACTTCCATTCAATAAAGTATATGAGCTTAATTCTATTTAGTGACTTAACTTTAAGGCTCATTTTTAGATAAACAATGGAGAAGAGCAGTCGGTAATCTAACTTCTAACCTGCTAAATTTTCGCCGGCTTTTCATTTACATAAGGAACACGATATAATTATAATTTACTCGCACCTGCGCCATATCCGTTTTCATTCAAGTTACATTAAAATTATAAAAAGCGTGCACTCTGAAAGTAGCCACTTTACCAACATCGCTGGCGCGTGTCAAAACATTTAGTTTTATTTTTTATTTTCCAGAGGGTGTCACCGGCGTGAAATTTTTCCACATTTGGAGCCACTTATTGAGCGCAGGTAAAAATCTAAAGACGGCGATGGGTTAAGAACCCATCCACAACTGCCCCTGAAATGTATGAATATTACTCCGCCAGCCAGTCACCTCCCTTTAAAGAGTAACGTCACTGACCTTACGCCTTGACGAACTCTTCTTAATATAGCAGCGCGCAGGGTTGGTAACAGCTGCGGCGCGTTCTTACAGCGATTTTCCAGCTCTGCCTACCGTCGCAAAGTCTTGCCGGTATTCGCTTTGGTCTGTGGATTTTCTGTGCGACGACGTGCGAAGCCAACTCAACGGTAGTGTCGCGGTCAAAATGCTCAGTGTGCCCGCTTGCTTCATCCAGTCGAGACCTAGCAACGCCAAGAGTACGGCTGGCACACTTTGTCAGCAACTGTGGCTTCTATTCGTAGGTTTACAGCTCGCCCCCATCTAAGAAAACCACTGTGGTATCAGCGTTTCTTCCCGATGGGTTCTATAGGTCAGCGTAAAAATCCTTTGCTCGCCACAATACGCTGCGTGAGATGATCGAGCGACGCCACCACCGCTCTGCCTCAGTGGAATCCGTCTTGTTCTTTCTGGCTTTAATAAATTAATGACCCAAGAAATCAAGCCTACAAAGCAGTGTGCATTTATCCGTATAACGTGGCGCTCATGCGATGTCTCGTTGTTGCGTTCCGTTCAAAGATATTTGGGTAAGCAATGATCGTCTGCCTTGTCCTACCACTATTAAACACGAAGGAGTCATCTGTCCACGTTGCAGTCGTGTCTTTACATCGCCCTCCACAACACTTAGGTAGGAACTTCTCCTCTCTTCACGAAAGCCGTGCGACGCAATGAAACGATATCGTCCTGCTCTTTCAGCAGCGGGCTTAGCTCCTTCCATTTGCGACTGCAACCGTTGGTACCGATGTCACCACGTCGCGCAGCAGACGAAGCACAATATTCTCTAAAGCAGAGTTGACGCAATACGTTCGGTAGAAGGCGCCTTTACGGTGTTCTTAACCTCTCATTCACTATAGTTTAATTGAAAGCTGTTCACAGTAAAGTGGGATGAACAACTACTGCGAGCACATACTTAATACAAATCTGCATGTAAAATAAAGACAAAAAAATAGAAATAACCTATTTCTTTATAAATACAACTGAATTGCTTGGCAAGCATGTAACATCTAAGCGACTGCAGTCTCTGAGATGCTTTATATTAAAATTAACTACAGCAGAACCGGACTGGCCCAATGCAACTTCACTGCAAATGCTTATAATCTACGTTCATGGACAACGCACTCGTAAAGTCTCGAGAGACTACCGAGAGATGCAAGTGGGTCGTTCCCCCGAGGGGAAGTAGAACTAGCTTTGGGAAGGAAAAATGCGGATTCGAATGCAACGCTACTGTTATATGATTCGGCCGATCAAATTAACAAAGCTTTGGCGTTGGCTGACATTACGTGCCCTAATGCAGGTTGTTTGATTTTATTCGAAGAGATAAAAAAAAAAAAAAAACAACGTTAAAGGTAGTGCAAAGCTGTTAGTGCACATTAGTTTTTATCGCCAAGGAGACATAATACAAGAGGTAATCTTCACAATATCTTGCATCATTAAATAAAGTGTGTTATGTAACTCCTTTATAGGTGGAAATAAATATTTATTTCAAAATCGTAAACCTGCGGAGCGTAATATAAATTCACTATATCAGTCAAATAAAATAAAAAAAAGCTGAAGCACGTGGCAAGCGCGGCGGAACGCTTAAGTTTAATAATCGAATTAACATCATTTATTGCTCTACTAAAAAGTTACGATGTTTGAATAATCAATAGAGCGCCATGCCTTTGTAGGCGGTAACAAAAATGTCAAGGCAACGTTTCATCCCGACAAGCATTTTTAAGAATCACCATTATATCGAATTCAAATTTTTCTGCAATGCTGATGTTGAGGAAGATTACTTTTACATTTCTTATTCTACCTTTAAATAGTGGAATGTACCTGTAATACAATTTATTATGACTTAGGATTTCAGGTGGGCAATTTATATGTGTAATGTCTTTAAAAGATTTTTTCTTTTTTTGTACGTGGAAGGTATTTAGTGTGCACCGAAGTCAAAGGATGTATGGTGCTTTTGAACACGTAGTAAACGTCAGCATCAGCAGCAAGGTGAATTGAATTGTATGCCTAATTGTATAAAATGACTTTTTGAGAGATGGCATCGCTTCAGGTTCCCCCATGATAGTATTGTCAAGTGAATTGAAAATTTCGTCATGTAAACTTCGTTCTTCAATCGATCGTTCCAGCTTACTCTGTCATTGACTCGACAACGAACTCTCAAGAAGAGCTATCAGTAAACGTTCCAGGTATGTACGAGTAACTTCCTTCTTTTAAAAATACTTTTTTATTTAGAATTCTATACGCTTTGACGTAATATGGCCAAACCACAAAAAAAATTGAGCAGCTACCTCGCATGTTGTGACGTTATTCCGTTCAGATAACACTTGGCAGTAGTCAGAACCATTGTAGAAATTCGCCGGAAGTTCGTCGTTTTCACTATCCATAGCTTTAGCAGTGCGATTGAAGCATTCCTTAGAATTAAATCTGTAACACGAAACGAAATTTTGCAGAGAGGTACAAGCACAAGCATCTCAACTCTGTCTGTGACTCGACAACGAACTCTCTTAGAATAACCAGCTCGCCTTCTTCGTCACGTTGTCTTCAAACATTCGTTGGCGCTTTTACTGCGAAATTAACGGTAAAACCCGTAAAAAATTGTATGAAGGAGCTACTGAATGCATAATTTCTCAATCTGGTCACATATTAGAGTTTTTCAATTTGAAGGACATATGTTTCTTTTTTTTTTTCTTCTCTTTATTCACATGTTGGTTGACCGTGCTTCCTGGTTATGACGAAACATTTACAGATAATCTAAGAAACATACTTCCTATGTAAAAAAGGGTGGAGTGCCCTTAGACTGTTTCTGCATTCAATTGTTAGTACTGGTTTCGATCGAATAGTAATCTTTCTCGTAAATATAATTGCGCGGAAGAGCTTTAATCTCGAAGAGAATTAAAGCATAATAATAAAAACCATATTTGTGCAAAATAACTTCAATGGGCGAATTTCTTAATAAAAAAGAGGTTTGGTGCTGACCTCGTCTTTGAATTAGCGAATTTAGAACAGTCTACACACTGCACTATTCATCAACTTTTTTAATTCATCACAGATCATTCACAATACCATGGAAATATCTGCCTCATTAGATAGGTCACGACAAAAGTGTGCGAGCGACTAAGAGGCCTTAAAGGGATGCTGAACCGAAATTCTTATTTCAGAAAACAACGCGGAAGCGCTAGACAGGGTGTTAGTGCTAAAAACCTGAGAGCACCACTCAAAAGGGGATATCTCCAACAGATGGTCGTATTTTTGTGAAAAAGGAGCGTGCTTGAACAAGGTCAAAAAAGCCCGTGACGTCGCGATTCTTGCTTCCTCCTCTTCTCGCTTTGACTCCGCGAGGACGCGAAGAGAGAAGGAAGCAAGACTGTTTTTCCTCCTGCTCAACGATTCTGCAGGAAACGCAACGTCGCGATTCTCACACTATCGCATCCTTATTTTGCAAAAACACGGCCATCCGTTCGAGATATCCTTTTATGAGTGGTGTTTTGGGGTTCGGTGCGCCCCGTTGAATACTCCTGCTACCTTATTTCGTGAAATCTAAATTTGGCTTGAGCATCCCTATAAGCCTAATGGACTGAGTTTTCTAACTTTCTCAAGTGTTATTGTTTCATGATTTATTGCGCCATGTTTAAGAGCTAATTATCCACCTATCGTTTAGGTCATGTATAGCAAATAAACATTTCATTAAGGTATATATATATATTTAGGCTGGAAAAAGCTTGATTTATTAGTAGCTAAACGCTCGCGTTCCTTTCTGCGTTTTCCAACGTATGCGATATCGTTTTACTGCAATAGACACTTTTATTATTTTACCTTGAAAAGTCAAGAAAGAGAAACCTACAATCTCCCAGGGAAGTACTGTAGAAGGTTAATTTAAAGTTAATTTTTTTTTTGCCGATTTCGAGGAAAGAAGTTAATAACAGGTGCATTGGCAGGTCGAAGCCTTTTGGTACAAACAACTGTCTGTTTTACTGTCAAAATTTGGTCGCCTCGGCTATGTCCTGTATTACTTGCTTGATCCAATCCTCCTGATAAAGCAGAACACTCAGTAGTTATCACCTAATTTTCAATTAAGTATCGTGTTTTCATTCGTTTACTTTATTCGAAGCGCTATTTATGTTAGAATTTAGAAAAAAAGTAAAAGCTGGCTCAGTGCGCTGCACAGTTAAATTTATTTGCTTCCGGCTGCCCGTTGTAAATCGTTTCAATGAGGAGCTGTTCGGTAAGACTGGCTTTCTTGCTAGCTTTTAAGGATTTAAAAAAAAAAATCAATCTTAAAATTGTGTACATTTTGCAGTGTGCTAGAACATAATATTTTCCTGCTCTACCCGAAATGCACGATCCATATGTTTAATGTTATCTTAATCTGAGAACAAGAACAAAAACAGGTTCGCATTGGCACTAGTACGCGTCATAGGATGTGTATTATAATAAATAGACGAGACCAAAAGATTGTTGTACAGGACGAAACCTTTCAAAATTTGTCGAGCAGAAAAAACACTAGAAACAATGTGAAGAGGGGGCGCAGTATTAGGATGCTCTTTTATGCTGTAATAGAAAACAACCCCTAATTTGTTTTTAAATTTTGTATAGTAGATTTTTTCATAGGAACTTCGAGAAAAATGTCTATTTTTAGAAATAATCTTTAAATATAACACGGCAAAGTAGAATCTTACACGGAAAGAGGGTAAAAATTACGACGATAAAATGTGCCCCTCATACAAGGGACAAATGGCAGAACCATCTGCACTAGCCTTTTACGTTGTTTGAATATTTCGATAATTATTATCTAACATCCGCGATACATGATTTCGGGTGACTTTCCCAATCCTAGTCTTCTAAACGTTACAACGCATGTTTTACCAACGTGTTGCCTGCCCGATTATTATGCGGCAGTAACAAAAGTGACCTCGAGAGACTGATCGCAATGTTGAATGGTTACGTAACGGCAAAAAGTAGTTGAAGTCCCATGTAGCGTAAGAGCAGGAGGAGAAATTCGCTGATTCAGTAGGCTCGCCATTTTTACTCATGATGTAACCGTCGGTAACTTTACACGGCTTTTCGGTTGACCTCGAGTCGTCCCATTTTATGCCAAGCCTGCAAAAGACAAGCGCAAGATAAGAATGCATAGTGAGGACACGTGGAAAGGAAAACAAGAAAATTGCGCATAGAGGTCCTCTCTGCTATCTACACTATAGATAATTTATACAAAGATGAAAATATACCACACACGAAGAAGCCTCTGAACTCCATAGAAGTACTTTTTTTTCCGAAAAATTAAGTTTTATTTTTGCTAATATCGTACTCGAAGTGTATGGAATTGGCATAAAACCCGTATAGCTAATTAAGAATATAGTAAAAAAAAAACAGCGGCGTACGACACCGGCTTATGTGGGTGCATATTTACGTAATAACTGGCGCTACCTTAAAACAAAAATTCAAATATCGAAAGAAATAGGACCTAAATAAGATATATTATGAATTGTTTTAATGTGTTTAGTCGTGTTGGAGTTGAGTGTTACCTGCAATACTTTTTTTTTTTGTTCTCCTAGAACTACTAACTGAATTGCACTTGTTAATTTTATGAAACCTTGTTTCGCTGTTTTTTAATCAAATGTCAAGGTTTCCAGTTTCTGCTGAAATGTCTCTATTTAAAGCCAGGAAATCCAATATGGGTTTAGGGGCCCGCACCTTTTCAAATAGACAAAGGGTGAATGCACCTAACTTCTTCAGCATAATAAATAAATAGAAAATTACTTTTTATTCTTTCCGAGAAATTGTTTTATTAAGACGACCCTCTCCATGGCCTCCAGGCGTCCACCTCGTAGGCGACGCACGCCTGCGTTTGCCAGCGAGGCGTGAACGATGTGAGACGCCGCTGCTAGGTCTACAACTCTCTCCTGAAATCTTTCTATTCAGTTGAACTAGACATTATCCTGGCATCCAGACCGAAATATCCTCTTTACCTTACGTAATTTCACTCTATTGCATAGGTGACTGCTGACGAGCGCCGGCGTTCATCATCTGCTTCCCGGGTTCGGAAAGGCATACTACGCCTCGACCTCGTCTGTGATTGGTTCAGAAGAAAAAAATCCAGACGGGCCAGTTCTTTAACGATGAAAAATGGTAAGAGTGATGTCGATTTCACCTCTGAACTTAATTGTTTTTGCGTCGATCTCAAATCTATTGAAGTTTGTTGTCGTTCCCACCAAGGACGCGCTGCTGAGATAGTGACGGCGTCATGGAAACGGCTACTTCACTTTTCTAAGCGTCATTTTGGACGGTGCTTGTGGCAATCTTTTGGCGCGCAATATTGAAATAGGGAGTAAACACGCGAAAACTGATAGATGAACATCTAAGAAACTATTATATTTTCTCAAATTTTGTCAATTCGTCAAGCCTCTGAGATTAGTTCGCGTCAATACTGGAATTGAAACATCAGCCATGAGACCATTAATTAAAAAGTTAACACAAAGTGTTTAATTAATCGACTTAGCATGATGGTCATTACCTCATTTAATGTCTGCGAGCATGACACTCAGATGGCGAAGATGGCACCCGTGTAACTCCCATCTATTAACAAACAGATTTCCTCTAAGAACACTAGAGGGTTCAAAATTCAAGACAAGTACTGTTGGCTTCCAGTGTACTCTGGAGCCTGAAATTGTGCACATGGACGTGACTTCAAGGCGTCCGCGGCGACGAGTGGAATGCTTTTTTCATCATTACACTGCTTTCGGTAGCGCATGTTCTATCAAAATACATCGAGTTTTATGGAGAAGTGACATCCCCCTTACCCTATCGCACTGGTGAAGTCTGAAGTGTTTTTGTATGTGGACGTGCGACAGACGAGACCGAAGCGCAGTGTGCATTCCCAAAGACGTGAAGCAGACCGTGCAGGCCTCCGTTCGTTGGCAGCAAGGCTGGGTAGATATACTCTAAAACGTATTCAGAAATACAGGTACTAGGATGTATGAGTTTTAAGGCCACAAAAAACAGATACTGATATACATTTGTCTTTTAGGCAACGGAATATCCCTGAGACACTTCTGCAAAATCGGCGAAAAGTCATTCCGGAATACAGATACGTATAGAAATAATTTTGTTCTCCACGGGGCAAGGTGGAGAGGTTTAGTTTGTGGCGAATACGAATGGTAATTTATGCTTGTGCTTCTTTTTTGTACCACTTTATAATGTTCCCCTTACCTCAAAGTTTATATTGACCATTAATTCTGCTAAAGAAAACATGTCGTCCCCGTTGAACTACATTGTTACACAACGGTAAAACTGCGTGTCATGCTTCACAAAAGGCTTCTGCCTAAAATGAGCCCTGTTTTGTCGTGAGGACGCATCTCAAACTGCCGCATTATAAGCGTCTGAGTCACCCATATTGCGGGGAGGTCGAACAACAGGAGCGTACTTTTGCTTCACTCAATTCGTTTTACAGTGTTCTTCCTGTTAAATTGGAAATAGTGGAAGGCTCAGTGGGAGAGGAGCTGATTTTGTTATTTTTGCTCGAAATCTTTCTTAAAGAACAGTTTTTGTTTTCTAAATTTCGGTGACTGAGATAGGCCATGTTAAAGGGCGTGCTCATATTGTAAATTACAACGCAACTTGCACTAAAGAAACATTTCATTTTTTTATTTTTAATTCATTTTAAAGGAAAAAAATGTAACGAGATACCTATGCCTTGCGAAGTATCGCGATACAAGCGATGTATCATAAATGTATTTTACTACTGAGTTAAAAATACAGTTGCAGATGTATCTGTACAGAGACATAGACACTCGAACGTATCTGTAAGATACTATGCGAGACTGCCTAGGCCTCGTTGCCAGTTACCTGCGAAGAAGTAGAGTAAACTTAAGATGCCAGCACCTTTACGTAAGGTAAAGAGGATACGGATTAATAAAAGTCAGGATAAAGTCCACATCAAGTGAATAAAACATGTTTTCAGGAGAGCGTTGAAGACCTTGCGACGGCATCTCACACCGTTGACACCTCGTTGGCGAACGCCAGCCTGCGTCGTGTATGAAACAGGCAATGGACGCTTGTTCGGAGAGGCTCATCTTTAAAAACGCATATCTCGGCAACATCTTTCAATTTTTTGCTATGTTGAAGAGATGAGGGGGATTAGACATTTAATTATTTCGGAAGTTCCAAACCCCGATGCCCACATTGCTATTTTTGTCTCTAAATAAGGTAGTTTCTACATAAACTGGAGATTTTGTAATTTATTTAAAACGGAACAAAAGAAGGCTTTGGAAATGAAACACGTGCAATTAAATTTTTAGCTCTATCAGAGCAAACGAAAAAAATAATTGTAGCTATCAATCAACTTTAGGTTGGCTATACGAAATAAATCTCATAAAGTGTCTTTTCTTTGTGAGCTCCTATTTGGACTGAAAATGGCGTCTTTTAATATATACATTGTACTGAAAGGTAGGGCATGCTATTAAGTATTTAGGCGACCACCTAAATTTTCTTTGGTACACAAGCGTTTTATCGCAACGATTCTGTTATCTATACTGGTTTGATGCAAATCCAAAAATTTAGGGCATAATATAAGCAAAAATATTTTTGTTTTCGTAAAAAAACTTTTTTTTAGGTGAGCCCTTTTTTTTTTGCAGAAATATTTTTTTTTCGTGCAGATGCCAGACATAAAAATATGTCGCGTCTTCTTTGACATGGAGTGAACCTTTTGTAACTTGCAAGATGTGAGGCCAGTGATTTAAAAAAAAAACAAGATATTGCTACCTCATAGACATTGTTTTATGATTCAGCCAAAAATGAGCTAACTTCAAAAATCTTGAAACGATTTCGGTTACCACTATGTGCCAAGTCCCACTGTTTGACGTATGCTATTTTTTAAATTAACTGCTGTTTCGTTTTGCGGATTTTTTATCCTTTGTAACATGCGGAAATCGCCACCAACGATATAAGAAAAGAAAATTATTTTATCGTTTTCCTCATCTTCCCAAATCGCCATCACACCACGATGACTTTGTCGATTCCGATACATTTACAGAGGAGTGTGCTCTGATCCGGAAAGTGTTTTTCATGATGGAAATTTCCAGTCGCAGACGCGCCTAAAATTCCGCTTTTTCTTTTGGTGGGTTTCATGCTATTTTCCCGCTGATTCCTATTTCCACTTTACTGTAACAGGCGTCTCATGTCTTAAGGTGCACAAACTTTCAATACAGGAGTGAGTAAAGTCACGTTTATTGAAGCCACGTTAGTAAAACGGGCCCTATTTTTCCATCGAAATTTTCGAGAAAAAAAATCACTATAACTTTTAATATAATACTGGTTAGTTGCGAAACTTCAGCATTTGGTTCGTACCAGTAGTACTAATACATTTAAGCAGAAGGTGAGCATTCGTTGACGCGTAGCCTATTTTTGCGGTAAATAATATTGTAGCTTGCGGGGACATTCAGTATTTCATGAATTACGTGTAAAGTTATTTCTATGGACGTTCGCGACGACTAAAAAAATAAACGACAGACGTGGATTACGTAATCCGAGCGGCGTCAGCTGGAGGGCTAGGTCCAGTGTCCAGAAAACTCCAGTTGTGGCTATTGTAGCCACCGGGAGAGATAGCTGGATTGATCAGAAAACAGCGCTTGGTAGTAGCGGAACTTCACCTTTGGTTTCGAGAACTGTACCAAACTCCACGTGTCGATGGTTCGGCGGTGCCGATCGCGGCAAATGAGACAAGCGGCGCTGATGGCGTCGTTAATCAGATACGGGGCCGCTGGCATTGAGAGTCTTTCAACTGGCGTTATCTATGTCGGTGTCAAACTCGCCAGTCAGATTGCCGAAATTTGCCTGTTGACCTGCTGCACAAGCTTTTCCGAATACGTGGACCCAAACACCACCGTAGTCGCAGACCGGCCAGAGGTGAGCAAAGTAGCATCCGTATATGCCACTGCTTACGAAAGTCACTGTAAGAGGGCGGCGACTCCGGCTCTCAATACAGGAACACTAATCACCCAACAGTCGGGCGTGTGGCGCCATGTGCCCATTGGCGAGACAAGTAGACGACTCCGTCGTCTTCGCTCTGCCTAGTTCTATCTTCGGATATCAGAATATGCTCTAAGGGAAAACTGAAACCTGATAATAGTGATATTATTAATTAAATTGCGTCGTAGTTTTGTTGTTAAAGTTTTTGTCATTTGGTGCGAAACGTATACCAACGAGAGAAATGAAAAGCTCGACGAAGTGGGAGACCTTAATTTTAAAAAAGAGATCCAAAACTTAGCAGCCTGAGCGGCGGCAATGTTTAATAAAAAATACAGCACTGAGCAGCCCGGGAAACTGCAATGTGTAATAAAAGTACAAAGCTCAACAATATGAGGTACTGCAATGTTGAATAAAAATGCAAAACTCAACAACCGGAAGGAGTGCAATTATAATGCAATTAAATGCAAAGGTGCAAGCGAGCTGGACAAGAATGACGAAAGTAAACCCTGGAGAAGGGGAAGAAGAGGGACAAAGGACAAACATGTTTGTCCTTTGTCCCTCTTCTTCCCCTTCTCCAGGGTTTACTTTCGTCAGGAGTGCAATGTTGAATAAAGACAAAAAGCTCAGCAACCCGAGAGACTGCAATTTTAAACAATAGCATAGATCATAACAACCTGAGACCTGCCTTGTTGAATGCAAAAGCAATGCTCAGCAGGCTGAGGTGCTGCAATGTTTAAAGAAATAGAGGACGTAACATCTGCGGAGGCTGCAACGTTGAAGCCTCAAGGGACAACAAAGAGTTCGCATTGTTGCACGTTAAAAGCGTGTTAGGCTTATGCTCTGCCTTGAGTGAATGTTAGCTGCGATACATATATCCCGGTACAGTGTCGATCGAAAATATATTTTACTATAGAGTAGTCGCTTCGGCGGCCCGGTACGCACACAATAAAACGTAACTTGGTATACCTTCAAAAAATAACTTCTAGAATTCACCACTTCGCAAGGTTCGTCGATTATTCTGAACAGCTCGATATCTATTTTATTTTAGCGTCCTTAATATTTTATAATAACAATTATAATATACGATCTAGTATTTATGTACACGCGTCACGAACCATGGCGGTACTAGCATGGGTCGAAACGGGAAGATTCGGACGTCCGCCAACCCACTGCTCGTGGGCTCAGGGGACGCGGGGAACAAAGACAAGCACACTAGGGCGAAATGGTTAGGTTAGTAAACACATTTATTACCAACATATTATTCCGATAAAACAAAACAAGCAACGAAAGCCTCACGAAGACTTGAGCACGTGACTGATATTAGCACATTCAGTAATACGGGGGTTTTTGCAATTGTAGAGTCACATGCCTATGTACAAATAGGGGAGAGGGACGGTACCACATATTGAAGCAGTTCAACACTACGGGGCTTGCGAGGTAAAGCCGAAGTTCATTCGACTTGCTTCGTCGTGGTGCGCTGCTCAAGGTGCTGCCTTGAGCAGCACCTTGAGCAGCGCACCACGACACTTCTCCCACACACTGTGCCCATCATCCCGCACCCTCCAGACCAAGTACTCTTTGCCGACGCTTCCAACGTCGGCCTTGGAGTGGTCACCCAAGACTCCGCCTTGGCCATCCTGACACTGCCAGACCCCAACATCTTCCTACGCGAGACCCTGGCTTGGACCGTCACCGCCCTCCTGGCGCCACCGTCCTCGCTCATCTTTACCGACAACAAGGCTCTCCGCCACGCTGTCACAAGTGGCCACCTCCGAGCTGTGCCGTGGCCCCTTGGGCTTACTGTATCTTTTCTTTCAATAAAGAAGAGCCTCCGAGCCAAGTGGCTCCCCACGTACTGCAACCCCGCCGACATGCCCTCACGACTTCCGCACTACCTTTTCCGCCCACTCCCTCTCGGGATTGGCTGAGGGCATGGCGGCGGGGGAGAGGAGGTGATGGCTATATAACCGCCGCGCCTCTCTCTCAGCGGTAGTTGGGTTGACACCGAGGGCAGCGAGCAGTTGCGCTCCCCTCAACGAGGTTACAAACGAGGTCCTTGAGGGTCTTGGGGGACGCCCAACTGGGGCAGTCGGGCAAGGGAACGACTCATCAGGCTGGTGCACGAATATTAGCAACTAGGTGAGCGGGTTGATTCTTCATTGCTACAACGGTTCCCGCAAGGCAACGTCCATAGTCGAAGAGTCCGGCGACTGCTGGCTATCAGTTCACCACATCGAGTTGGTGAACTAACGGCAACCAGCCGCTAGACCATTGGCTCCGGGCGTCGCCTTGAGAGCATTACTCGTTTTAAAAAACAGCCCAAATTCACCATTTCTAAGACGAGTAAAGTGTCGCCCGTAAAAATAGTAACGTGCTCTAGCTGAGGATAGTTTGATTATGATTTGTTACCTTGATCTGGTGTCCTTCATGGACTTTCAGAATAACTCTCTTCACACGGGCGGCGCGAATGGTGGAGGAGCCGTGATATGTATGTTGTACTTATAGCTTGTAAGAAGCGGAAAGGCAGGTTTTGGCTAATGTCTGTGCTTTTGAGAAGAGGCTCTCTTGAGAATCAAGCGTATGCGTTTGTTCAGACAGTTTGTTCTTTAATACCAAGGAATCTTCATAAGCCGCATCGTTCAAGGGCGCGGAAAGTTCGCAATAATTACTGGCTTTGGTCATCATGGTTTACCGATCACAGGGATATCTGGTTTCTTTTTTTTTTCAGAAATATCTCACACCGTGATTAGATCTATGTTACGACGTGCACGATGGGCATTGAAATATTTAGAGACAGCGTGAGCTACATATCAACGGTTCTCTTCGGCGCAAAGTGTGAAGGCAGTGCCAATGCGTATTGCTCTGTATCCTTTAGGGATTTCAATATAAAATAATTTCACTGCGAAATTCTCTCAATCGCAGCTGACTGTGCTTGTCTCTGTCCTCCTTGTCTCCCGAGCCCACGCCCTGTGGGAGCGCGTTCGCCCGAACCTTCCCGTTGCAACCTGCGCTACTACCCCCGTGTCGTGACAATACCTGAATAAGGAGCCAAACTAGACATCGCTGTAATCTCTGAATTTGTTTGTAATTGTCGATGCGGCATGGAGAGTCACGCGCCATGCGATCTATGAGCAAAATGAGACTCACAGTCGGGCGATTTGCTGTACCATAGCAGGAACGCCAGAAAATGTCTTCCCATCGTCTTTAGACAGCGCTGTTCGTCGATTACCGCATGGTCCCGAAGAATAAGATGCAGCTGCAATGTTTTGAAATTAAAAGAGGTAGGAAAAGTCAGCTTTACATATTGCGATTTCGAATTGATAGTTATATCATATAAAATCTCTTAGAATCAGTAGATAAGTGCCGGACGTTCATGTCAACGTAGACTTTGTCATCCACTTTATTTCTGCTTGGCCAGCTTCTCCCTTGTTCTCGGTCTCCAACATTTGTTCGAACCCTTACAGCTGAGATCAGACAGGATTCCTGTCCTGTAAACCTCCCTTGAATATTTTGCATATTTTATTTGAAGCGTGTAGCTCAATGAGTATTTCTTCACTTTCCTTAAAATATAATCAAATATGTTTTTATATTATCGCTGTTAGTTACCACTGAACATATTCGTTGAAACGACGGGGAAAATAATCTACAGCAACGTTATCTCCCGTATAATATAGAACCAAATTTATGTCGTTAAAAGACTCATTTACAGACTAAGAAATACGACTAAAGGTTTTGGGAAGCACCCTAATAAATTTTTTCTAATTTTTTTAAAAATAATTTGTTGCATTTTACAGCTCTGTCTCTAGCAGCTTTAGTCATTGATTGACTGCTCTCTAAAAAAAGCATAGCAAAATCAAATAATAGCATATTAAAATAGTAAGTCGAGCTAGTTGGTTTTGGTATCTCAAACTTAACTCAAAAAAGGACAAAAAGAAGCAAGACACAGCACGAGGCGTAAATCGAAAATAAAAGATTATTTTGAAAAACACTGAGTTTCAAACTGCTCTTGAAAACAACACGTAATTTACCGCCGCTCCCAGGATTTCTGCAAAAGTGCAAATAATGCAATAATAAGGGCCAACGATAGCTCTCTGACAAACACCTGGGTGTGCTGCTGCTTTTTTTTTAATTTCATAGGCTACCTGCAACTCTTTTTTCATATTGTTTCTGTGTCTCCTTATAATCCTGATGTCCGGAAAAAAAAAAAAAAACGGTGTGTGCTCGCAAAGATTGAGATGCACTGCCAAGTGACCCGACGATGACTATTTAGTGGTGGCGGAGTCCTCCCATGTGCGACCACTAACGTATCACCCTTTTTGGCCTACGTAAGAGCGACCGCATTAAAGTGAATTTTCATACATCGTCCCTGTGGTGCATTCTATAAATTTGTTGTGGTGCTTTTTCTTGCGGCTGTAACTACCCAAGTCAGGGGAATTGGTTTTTACAGATATCTTGTTAGGAGCTAGAGAACAAACAAACAGAAAAAACTACCGGGACTTCTTAGAGTTCAACAAATTTTAAGTTTTGAGATAAGGAACGTAAATATAGAACTATTTCCGGCCTCTTCCCCTTGCGCTTTCAAGTTATCTTCTGGGTGCCGATAAGCTTCCTCTTCGGGCTTCCTGCAACGTCAATCAAGGTTTCTTGCGGAAAGCCCGCCCTCATGAGACGGTAGACTTGCCGTTGGAAGCTTCTCCCCATTTCCTCAGGACATGACTTAGTCTAAGAGGCTCCAAGACACGAAGTAGGGAAGCCTCTTTTAACGTGAAAGTATTAACTGTTCCATGGAGCGAAGCGGCGTTATCTGAGTGAAGCCTGCGTTATCGTTATCTGTAGCAGCGATAGACGGCACCTTAATTGCCCTGAGCTAATCGGCACCTAAACTCCCATTGGCTGGGACGCGTCATGTGGCTCCATAGCAACGGCGTCATCGCAGCTAAGGGGCCAGCCGAACTGCTGGGGGCACCGCGGGAGGCGGGGACGCGCATATGCGCTTTCCTGACGTTAAGCTAAACGTTACGCTTCGAGGTCTAACTTTGTCAACCGGTACCCGCAGCTAGAGCAATAATGATGATGAGAGGACAAGTGATTTCAGCACGCGCCGCGCCGAGCTTCGCTCTCCCACCGCTGCCTCAACCAGCGGCGCAGCAGACACCAGTGAGCCAGTCATGCTTTCGCACTCACAACTCATAAAAAGAGCTTAGGTGTCCTCGGATTTTTTTTTCACCAGCTTGGAGCGGGCCGAATGTTATAGCAGCACTGCTTCCTTAGAGCGGGCTTCCTAGACATAGCGAATGCGGTCATCCGAAAATTTGAGTTTCAAGTCCAGAAATTGGAGGAGTTCCTCCGAGGCACTTTCATGAATAAATTCCGTTCCATGGGAGCAAGCAGTGAAGGTGCCCAAGAAATCGGCCGCGGTTGCGTACGTGAGATCATTGAGTGGTAGAAGAATCGCAAGGTAATCATCAATATAAGGTTTGCGTAGACGACGTCTTCACCTCCGTTGAGCCCTCCGCATCGATGAAGCCGCTACTGCGCCTGTGCGCCGATGGCTTTGAATACAGAGATCTGGGTTTCATAGCGGGTTGCGGAGAGCGTTGTTGGACGGCGAGAACAATCTACGAAAACTCCCTAATGTATCTAAAGATCTCGAAGATCCCCTTCACCCCTAAGCTTCTAAACAATAGCGTCGCCACAGTGAGCTAAGTGAATGTTACAAAGAACAGGAGTCGCCCGCGACCCAATATAAATAACTTATTTTCACACATCAACCTCCATGTAAAAGGGGACAAACCTCTCTCAGAAATTCCAAAACCTTCTCTGGACTGCGGACCAAATATTTGTCGGCAACTACAGTAAGAAAAAGTGGGTACTGAGAAAGGAGGTTATTTGAAACTGACACAAATGCCTTTCCGTCACTATCTCCCTACACGGGACGCCCACTTTGCGTGTTTTGCCTGTGAAGAAAATATCCAGGAAAAGGTCTTTCTTTCTTGAGGGCACCTTTTTTTCGAACCCCTGAAGTAGTAAAGCGCTGCACAATTCATCAACTCTAGGTTACACCTTGTTCAGGGATCTTGGGTGGATCCTCTCAGCGTGCGCTCGTCCTTCAATACGCAAATTCACATAGCTGTGTGGAAATTTGTGTTTTTCCTTTGTACCCCAGGAGTTATTATCACCTGTGTCTTTGTTTTCCAGGTATTATTATCGTTTATCCCGCCTACACTGACTTGAAGTCCGTGAACATAGCTTCCCTGGAATTGGCAGCGACGAACTCTTGAGGCAGGAAAACGGAGACTAAACACCAGCGGAAGTGAGCAGCTTGAGATTGCTGCGTTCGAAGCAGTGAGCTATGGCTGCCATCTTCGGGCTTTTTGTCTGGTGGCTATAGGCGCGCCAGAGTGCGTCCGCTCCGTCAGCAGGGCAGTCATACCTGTCTTGGATCACAACTTTCTCTGCCATGCTTCTGACAAGCAAGAGCCTCTCAGGGGCAGAAGTTTTGGTTCAGCACTGAACTTGAACCAGTTGTCGAAGGTTTGCCCGGTTTCATCAGGCAGTGACGCACTGCCGAGTAAAGTTACTCCCTTACGCTTTTCCTTCTTATTCTGTAGGTTTCTTGGCAAGCAAGCCAATTTTTTCTGACATAGGAATTTCATAACCTGCTTGGCGCATGAAAGAAGGAATGCAAAGCTCTTCTCAGCTTCTGCTCGTTCTTGAGACCTCCCGTTGAGCACAGTACCTTAGACAGCTTTTGTATATTTCTACTTGTTTCCAATTCTGGGAAATAATGATTTTGCATATCCTTTTGGCGTGGCCAACTGACGGGGGAAAGCCGTTGAAGAGCGTCAAAAGGTCTGGCGGCAGGTATCTGGTGCGATATGCGTAGGCACACACCGCTGCTCGGCAGCATGATGCGACTTCAGGTCTGGAAGAGCGAGAGTGGACTGGTAAAGGTTCGTAGAACATATAAATGACGTGGTTGCTATAGAAATGTATTAAAACAAAAAATAGTTGCTGAACGGCAGAATGTTTTAGTATTTTTATGCTCTGAACTGACTATGCGGTTTGTGCCGAAAACTCAATTCCCCTAATGTGGGGAGTGACGGCTGCAAGGAAAAAGCTTTAAAATGCATTTGCTCAATGCACCACGGGTGTTGTATGTGATATGTTCACCTGCAATCGGTCGCTGTTTCGTAAGCCAAACAGTGCGATGCATTAATATACGCGCAAGAGACCACGCATCCGCCAATAAACAGTCACCTTCTGCTTGCTTGGCAGTGCATTGCAATAAATGGGAAAACACACCGCTTTTTTCTGACATGAAGACCATTGGGAAGCACCGGAACAGAGCGACAGGAAACATAAAATAAAAATGAGAGGCACGAGCAAGTGTGTAAGCGAGAAACCTTTGGCCCTTGATAAGAGACTTGTAGTTTTGCAGAAAGGGTAAAAAGGTGTAATTGAAGTGTTATTTTCAAGACCAAAATACACGTTTTTTTTTTTGTTTTCTTTCAAATTAAACTTTTAGTCGCGAGTTCGCCTCGTCTTGTCTCTTCGTTCCTTTTTACCTATTCCTTTTGGTTTGTGTTCAGTTCGAGATAGCACAGGTAGCAAAAGCATTTGCACAAAACTGAACGGAACACTTAATGCTTAGTTCTTCTGATTTGGGATTTTATTTTTAGACACTACAAATATTACCCAAGATTTTTCTTTGTTCATAATCCTTAATTTTGGTCCCGTAAAACCAAAGCGTCTGCTCGTTCTCAATTTTCTTGAAATTTTCTAAGTATGTTGGGTTATTTGTTTGCAGTATACAATCAAGCTACATGAATTGACTGATGTTCCTTCAATGCAAATTTATTCAACAAGGATAAAGCTCTTGCAGCTTTGTAGTGTGTAATATTACTAGAAGTCATTGCTCGCTTATTATATTTGTTTCTTGGTTTTTATACCAAATACACGTTAATGAAAACATTGAAATAAAATATTGAATAAGATTCAGTTCTTAAAGAGGGTATGCGGACTTCAATTGCAATACGTCAGTTATTTCAACATTCAAGAAAGCACACATATCAGTGCAACTTTGAAAGCATTTGCTTACCACTTTAAATATCCTGTACTTCCTAACCGGGGAAAAAAAGCGAAAGCCGTCTACAAGTCCCTGTAACGCCGAATTAGAGTGCAGCTCTTGAGGAGGAGGAGGGAAGGGTACTGAAGGAGGGGGGGGGGGTCACGTGACCTGGGGGGGGCGTCACGTGACCTCGGTGAGGGGGGTGTTACGTAACCTCGGGGGGGGGGGGGGTCACGTGACCCCTCTCCCTCCCCTTTGCCGAGGACACTGAAGGTATCTGAGGTCCTCCCTAAGGAACCCGAGGTACTCCCGAGGTCCTCCCGAGGTCCTTGGGGGGGGGGGGGGGGGGCTTGCGGTTACGCCGACGCCTACGCCGCTCAAGCCGGAAACCGGCGCCTAAGAGCTGCGCTCTAAAATCTTCCGGGCTCTGTTGAACTCGTAAAATTTTGTTTCATTGCCTAGAGTAAAAATCTGTCCTGCAGAGCGATCACACCGGAGTTGGAGGGATTCTGGAATCATGTCGTATTCCCGCGAGCCCGGAATAGAACTGGAAAAAAATTGCGCCGGCGCTTGGAGGAACGCAATGAGGATAAAGTTATATACTTTTGGCCAGGAATGGGGTGGGAGGGGAAGGGGTTTGTTTCATTGGCGAGCTGTGTCGATCTTCAGCTACTGCCAACGGGCTGCTGGCGCAACAGTATAGCATAAAAAAGTAGCCATTGAAACAGCATCATTGCAATGAAAAAGACTGACAGCTTGATTGCGTCACCGGCTCACGCTTCTTCGAGGATCAAAATAGCGCGCCTCCAGTAAAGCAGCCAGAAATTAAAAGTTGCAGGCGCACAGGGTGTCGTTCTTAGCGACGCGAAACGGGACAGGTTGGCTGTTGTAACCATGCGCACCTAGCATGTAGCTCTAAACTTAGCGGATCTTCTACTCGCGTGAAAAATATATAAGGAATTGAACTACATATGGTAAGAAATCGCAAGAATCGTACAACATACGTAAAAGTATACGTTTTAAGCCATGTTTCATATTACGTTCCTACCGTCTTCAGTGCTGGCACCTTTAACGCCCGTTCACACGCTTGCGACTCCTTAAACCCAAGCGCCATAAGACCTCGTAAAATCTCTTACGACAGAGAGACGCTGCCACCATCTACGTGGTGACCCTGGAACTGCACTTCACTACAGCTAAGGTTTGAACGTGTTTCCGAAATCAAATTTACGTACTAAGTATCAGGAATATTCGTTTGTATCCTTGACAAAAGGTTTTCGACCCAGGAGAGAAAGAATGATGAGCGAAAAAAATTTATCATATATGGGACCGCCACGTGTTTCTTTGCTACCCCATAGGTGGAGCCAATATGTCCGGTCGTCTTAAGAGGCTTTAAAAGGTTTCAAGGCACTCGGTTCTAAGAATTCGCAAGTGCGTGAATGGGTCTTTATATGTTTTTTGTGCTTGCGGCAGCGCACGAAGATTGAGGACTGGAATATGCGGCGTTTGTTTCTGACAGGGCTTTTGTTCAGGTATTCAAGATAGAGAGCAGGTAGGCTCTTCTTGCGACACGTACAAGATGGCTTGCTCAAACAAACAACACGCTGAGTACGTGTCTGTGGAGGGTGTGCGAACTAAATGCGTGAGTTTAGTTTCTTGCGTTGTTTGCGATATTTTACGCTTCGCCGCGCGATCGATACCTGCAGTAATATGCTCTGCAACAAAGCGCTTGTTGCCACTTTGCTTGGCTGAAGTAGAATAAGGACATTGGGGAAGTATTTTGTATACCTCTGGAATTGTCTTCGCTGTTAGGATCAATCTCATGTTCTTTTCTTTCTTTTTTTTTTTTTTGTTAGCACAGTTTGTGTGTCAAATTTCTTTTTTTTTTTACGCTTAGAAATTAGAGGAGTTGAATGAAAGAGTTCAGCCATGCCAGGACCGTGAAGGAACCCACAGTCATCATTCCCAGGAGTTGGAGGAATAGAATTATCGGAAACCCTAATTACCCGTACTAGAGTTAGAATAGAATGGGAATGCGCATTCCGCAACACTCGTAGACTTTAACCCTTTTTCTATTCAAACTGCTGAAATGCGAAGTGTTTTATATAGGAATGAGTGCTGAATCACCTAATTCATAAATATAGATTTCGGTACCTTCAATTCTCTGGTCTGTTTCTGACCTCGCCATTTCGCATGATAAAAACCTTCCACAGTCGTCAATTTTTTTTTTTTTGGCCACCTGACCCCCCTTATTTAACATAGCTTGTACTTTTCAATACATACATGTATCTGCTGCTTGGTATTAAATGGCGCGCATGCTGTCTGCCTTTCATTTTTCATATAACTTGTAAAATGTATCATGAATTTCATAATGTTCCGTGGTTTACGATTCTGAGTTTATATATTTTTATTAAACCGGAATTTTGTGAAAACGTTTGATTTGTGCCGCCTTCTTCTTGCTGCACTGGGTTCATTTACGTATCTGGCATTTAAATTAAGAACCCAAGGTAAGCAAATATTTGTTGTAAGTCTGGTGTGTTCATCTTTCTGGTCTGCATTCTTCAGGCTTTTTTATGCTCCATAAATGCTTATAGCAGCGATACAGCTTGATTTCCTTAGAGGGGAATTTGTATTTGGGGAAAAGCAAACATGCAGCAAATTCCCTGTAACACAGAAAATACAAGCAACCATTTGCGTAAATATAAAAAAAGTTGAAGCCGTTTACAACCTCCTGTAACGCCGAATGAGAACGCAGCTCTTGAGGAGGAGGAGGGAATGGCACTGAAGGGGGGGGATCATGTGACCTCAGAAGGGGGGGTCACGTTACTTCGAGGAGGGGGAGTCACGTGACCTCGGGCAGGGGGGCAAGTGACCCCGGGGGGGGGGGGGGGTCGCGTGCACCCCCCTTCCCCGAGGACAACGATGGTACCAGAGGTCCTCCCCAAAGAACCCGAGGTCCTCCCGAGGACCTCGGGAGGACCTCGGGTACCTCCAGTGACCTCGGGAGAGGTCGTCACATGACATCGGGGAGGTCACTTGACCTCGGGGGTGGGGGTTACGTGGCCCCTCCCCCCTCCGCGAGGTCCTCTCGAGGTCCTCCCCAAGGAACCCGAGGTCCTCCCGGTTACGCCGACGCCGATGCCGACGGCGACGGCGACGGCGACGACGACGGCGACGCCGCTCAAGCTTGAAACGGGCGCCAAGGAGCTGCGCTTTAAAACAATTAATTCCATGTGTTATATTACAGGATCGAGATGACAATATTGAAATGCCCACTTCAGTGTAAATGCCTTACACTTAATTTGTTTTGTTAAAATTCATAATTTACGGATGCAATTGTATTAAAATAGTTTGCGTTACCTTTCATTTCCAGTTTGTAGGCCACTATGTAGTCTCGAATTTCTTCACTATGAAATGAAGAACGAATACAATTGTAAGCGCACTTTTAAATTGATCGAATTTTTAGTATTAATTATCTTGAATGCACCAACCTTGTCAATAGGTAGACAACATCAGCCTCTTGAAATGTTGTGTCATTATTTACCCAGCGGTTAAACATACTGAGAGTGAAAGCCGGGTCTAATTTTGGAGTCGTTTCATTTTTAAATGTTTTATATTTCTTGAATTGTTTTTCCTCTTCACTCTAAAACAGGTCGTTTTGCATTAGTATAATTTTTGTTTTCTTTAATTACAGCAATTACGTCATGGGCAATGCTCTTTATGTTTCAGAGAACAACTTATTGCTTCTGCGATTTTCGAGACCCAATTGTTGTAATTTTACTAGAAGTATTTTTATATAGTTTGGTTTCCGAACAAACATCTTGAATCTAATGCTTCAACACTAGTTAGTATTATGACGAGGGTGCTGTGCTCACAATAGGAAGTTAATATTTTCTAATACTGTAATTTGAGTGTACTTCTATTTCCAAAAAGTGCAGGAAAGCGAAATTATTTTATATGGTCATTTCTACAGTTTGGCTAGTAAGAACGCCTTATTAAGCGTGACCAGCAGGAAGCGTCGTTTTTGCTCGCGAACATCCGACTCGCGACAAACGGGCGTGCGAGCGCCGATGCCGATCAGTGCGAGGTGAAGTTCGTCTTCTTCTTTTGCAAGGGTTATGTGACGTTAGAAAGAGGGCGACCTCTGATTGGCTCCAATGGAAAAATAGTGAGAAGACCTCACAGAAGCCTGTTTTGAGCTCTACCCACTATCCTTCAATCCAAGCCCATCAGAGCTCGGTGTTTTGCCGTCACCACAACTCCTGAAAAAGAAGCAGAGGAACTTGCGCTCCGCGTACCGACTATATTCGTGGCAACTGAAATCGTCGGATCCTAGAAAAGTAGCGCAAATATCCATGTACAGTCGCCATTGTGGTCTGCATAACCTCACTGTGATGCAAACAATTTATCAACCAACCTTATCTCTACAAATATCTTACAATGATATCGTTCTTCTTGCGTAATTCAAGCCTAAAATATCTCCATGCCGCCAAGCGCTGACGCCGCACGCGGTGGCTGAGTTTGCGTTTGACTTCTTACACCTTGTGAAGCGCCGCCATGTTCGATGTAAAAGTTTACTTTATAGCAATTTTTCGTTTTGTATATCAATAGTTTGTTAACCACACATCAGCGAAACAAATGTACAACTTCACTCAGCCACCGCGTGCGGCGTCAGCGCTTGGCGGCATGGAGATATTTTAGTCTCGAATTACGTAAGATTAAGGATATCATTGTAAGATATTTGTAGAGATAAGGTTGATTGATAAATTGTTTGCATCACAGTGCGGAAGACGCTTATACACCGATAGGCGGCCCTGACGTCACGCCGCTGAGGTGTCGCTACTATGGGATGGGCGCATAAGAAGACGCTTCCCAATGACCGAAATGGCAATTACAACGGCATCGAGTACCCTTCAGCCAATCGTACTGCGAGGTTTTGATCGCCTGTATGTTAGTACCTATCTATTTATGTCCTGTTACAGCAGGCAGGGAAAGGCAATGGCGCTAATTTCTCAGGATCCAGTAACTTTAGGTGCAACTATGGACACTTTTAAACATATGTGCGTGGGAGCAGCCATACCCCTCCTTTAGTAGTTTCGCTTATTGCGTTTGCTTCACTTAATTAATACCATAGCAGGACAGGTGATTGCGATGGTATTTTAGATTTTGCTGTGCCCTCCCCATCACTGGTCTTTTCTGGGTACTCGCGAATGCCCGTTTTGGTGCCTCGGTATCTCGGTAAGACAAGGTCACCCCTGGTCGCTCTAGTCTGACGTGTTTATAATGCGTCTCTACGTGTCCTTCACTAGGAGAGGCGGGGAGGACAGCACCCGGAGATCTTTAATCGGCAATCAGATCGGGAGAGAGCTCGCGTGTCCGTGCACTTGACTGCATTGTGTCACAGAACGTTGCCCCTAAGTATAGAAGACACAGACTGCGCATGATTTCATTTTTAGTGAATTTCTGACAATCCCAAAGCAGCGAAAAAGGTGAAGCATGACGAAGGACGCCGCATAGCGGCAGACATATGCATTTTGGGGTAGAGGCGCGCTATCGCCGCACGCGTTGCGTATCGTTGATCGGACACGCCGTTTAACGGAGCAACAGGCGGTGAGGTTTGGAGGGGGGGGGGGGGGGTGTTCATTGTCCTCTATGTGGTATCGCGTAGGCACACCCACAGGCACCAACAGACAGTAGCTACCGCCGGCAAGCACTCAACAATTGCTAGACTACAGAAACTTCAACCCTTTTAGTTACTATGAACGCATATATAATGCAACCACTCTTAAATAGATAAATAAAGTTTTCCCGCCAACTTACCGGTCACAGCAGACCTATTTTATTTTTAAGGATAGTAATAATCGGAAGGTTATTATTGGGTTGGGAGTTTCGGAGCAATCCGGAAAGGCAGGTAGTTCATAACATAAATGTCTGTGGGGCCGTATATAATGTTGAGATTATGAGATAGTGCCGAGGTAAAAGAGAGGGGTGCTGACAATATTTGAGGGCGAAGGTGAGTGATAATAATGCCGATGGTGAAGGGTTGCTAGTTTTAAGAGATGACGTACTAGAAAACATTTAACTTCGATTCGTTGGGAGAAAAATACTGCTATGACGAAGACCCGTGTTAGGTAGATCTGTCGGATAAATCAACTTCTTTTGTTTTACACTGTTGCTATTGTACAAATACCACCCGCGTTCATCTGTAAAAGTTCTTCCTGACGAAGGCCGGAATCCGGCCGTCCATTGTTGTTGTTTTCACCAAGTGCTTTTTTTTTCTTTTCAGCTCTACCAACACCAACTGGAAAGGGAGAAAGCCTCATTCTGACCCCTTTCCACTCTTACTACGTCAGCTAATGGGGCGGCTGCGAGAGGCGGCTCGACGGGTCCGGACCTGTCCAGGCATATCGCCCCAATGCAGGTGCGGCTGAACAGTTAGCTCTACCAGTCCCCCGCAGAATTGGCTTGCTTCCGAGTGTCTTTTTCGACGTGGATATCTGTTCTGTCGAATTTCTCGTGTTTTGCGCGTCGCTGTGAGTTTTTTCGTGTCCCCGCAAGCTTGAGAAATGTGAAAAGAGCGACGGTGAGATGCCGCGCAAGTGCTGTGTGCCGCGATGCCGCGGAAACTACACCCTGGACACCAAAGTGCACGTGTTCAAGTTCCTAAAGAATCAAACACTGAGGAACGCATGGATAAGCGCTGTGCCGCGGGAAGACCTCTCCGTCACCGAGAATTCAAGGGTAAGCTTTATTTTCGGTAGAGAATTAATTGTTTCATTGCAAATGGAAATTCAATATATGTATACATTCGTATAAATGTGGCTCGCAATCCGCACTTTATGTCAAATACCCATTGCTTTGTTCGTTGGACGCAAAATTCCTTTCTAGGTATGCGAACTTCACTTCGGGCATGAGGACATCATCCGAGAAGCATCGCGTACCGATGAAAGTACTGGCCGCACCATCACAGTGCCCTTATCCCATGTCCGTCTTCGCCCTGACGCTTTGCCGTGGAAGTTCCCTAGCTGCCCGACCTACCTGTCTAGGGAAGCCACAAGAAGAGGAGATCCATGGAGCATGCTGGTATGCAAAAAGCTATCGCGGAGTTCGAGGAGATGTTTAACAGGGCACATGAAGAGGACACAGTCCGTTCTTTAGGAGAACTAATCGGACACTTGCGGAGCAAGGAGATGAAGTTTTGGAACATAATAGAAAAGGACGAAAGGCTTGTTATTATCCACATTGTCGACGATAAGGCCCCGTGGCTGAAGCACTCTGTCTGCGTAAAACGAGACATGAGCGTGACGCTACATGTCATGAAAACGGCGGTAAAAAAGTTAGGTGCAAACCTGGTCGTTCCAGAAATTGCTGACAGTAAGAAGGGTATAGTAGAACTCCTCGAAGGGAATCGAGAAGTGGGACGGGGACCTGATTTCCAACCCAGTCGAGGAAATTTGCGAGGCTATCTGCCTACTGCTGGATCAGTTGTCCACGTCCCACGCAGAAGACGACGCCGACTCCATTAGATTTTTGCGAGAGCAAGTAAACTTGTTACAAGTGCAAAACAGCGCAGACGCTACTCTACAGATTTCATGGTGTTCTGTTGCATTCTTTTCACCATATCGCCCCCTGCGTACGCTTATATACGCCCATGGAAGCGTCACTTTGCCGCATCTCACGACGATCAGATCGGTATGCTCCTCTTACGGCATGAGCCCTCAACAAGAGCATCAGAGCGAAGCATCCCCCGTTACATTGCGAGAAGAATTTTTGACCTTAAAGATGACCAGCGCTTTGTCACCGTAATGGTCGACGAAATACACATCAAACCTTACTTTGAATACAAAGGGAGCTGCGCTTAACTCAAATAAAGCTGCAAACTGTGCGCTCGTTTTCATGGTGCGCAGCCGGAAGTGCAAATTCAAAGAAGTTGCACACATCGTGCCAGTGCACAGACTAGACGCGGAGTTCCTGCACAAGATGCTTAAAGATGTGATTTGCGGGCTTGAAAAGATTAAGTACCGCGTTGTGTGCCTCGTGAGTGACAACAACTCTGTGAACAGAAAAGCAATGTCCCACTTCGAATCGCCCGCTTTTAACAGAATTGTGTATCAACACCCATCAGACCCTGCAAGGCCGGTGTTTTTCGTTATAGACCCGGTAAACATACTAAAATGCATAGGAAACAACTGGATCAACCACAAGAATGACCAATTTTGCTCCTACTTTCCTGAGATGCAAACAAATGCGGCACAGTCAGTGCGCATGCAAACAGCGTCATTTTCGACAATCAGGAACCTTCACACCAAAGAACGTGACTAGCTGTTGAAATATGGCTGTGGGCTATCGAGAAAATCCCTTTACCCGTCAAATATTGAAAGGCATAACGTAAAGCGTGCCTTGCAAATCTTCAATGATTCCTTGCCTGTGGTGTTGCGCGCTCTTGGAGCGAAGCACAACCTGTTCTCATTTGAGGCCACTGCTACTTTCATCGACATCATACTCAAGTAGTGGAAAATTGTGCATGTGAAAACTCCGTGGAAGGGAAAGAGGCTGAGAGACCGGTTCCAACAACCAGTGTTCTCCGTGGACAACGATCCAAAAGTTGACTTCTTGCACCTGCTTTTGAAATGGCTGGATGAG